GACTTGGCTCTTTCAAAGGTCTCATTTGTAAAAGTTTTAACTAGCAAACTGTTGCTTGATAGTTTTAAGGGAGGAATTTAAAAGCTGTAAAGCATCCTGAAGAGAGACGGTGTTCGTCTATACTGAAAAGCATGCTATACAGTTACAAGATGTTTTTCCAGGATGCTCAAAGGAAAACTTGTCTTGCATGATCACTAGATATCAAAATAAGAAACAGATCCTGGCTGTACGAAGTGCTGTGTAAAGAACTTGCCAGTCATGTAGCATAACTGCTATAAACTCCACTGATCCTGTGCTGCTTTAGTGGTGATAACTTATCTGATACGGTTGGTGCAGAGATTTGATGGAAAATGTTTGGAGTCTAGCAGTAGCTCTGGAAAATGCCCAAACTTACTTTATTTGCCTCTGCACTGGCTAACATGAAAACTGTCTCTTCTAGTATGCTTTCTGAAAGTGTTTCTAGGGTAGTCTAAGCTGATCTAACTGCCGACTGTCCTGGTGCCACCCTTGCCCTTTTGTCTCACAACCAGCAATTTTGTTGGCTTAGACTGCTGTGGAACTGCAGGTTTTGGAAGCAGCTTTTAATTTTGCTCTGATTTTTAAAGCTTACTTATCACCAATAAATTATTGTCTGAAACAAACTTTTCAAAACGGTGATGGCAGTTTGAGCTACAAATAAAAAAAACAATGTTAGTTGAATTGTCTTTTTCGACTCCTTTGTATCTTCAGTTACAAAACTGTTGAAATTAAGGCTATCTAAGTTTGTTTACAGTTATTTTTTTCAACTTCTGAATCAATTTGCTTTTTGGTAAAGGCTTCTTTGAAGTGATCTGGAAAAATGCAGGTTTTTGAACAGTCCATTCGCTTTTAGAGTGTGATAGTGTTCTGCCAAATCAGACAAAAATGAGGAAGCGGTCTCAGTTTCTCTCAACCTCCGTTTTCAGTCAGCCCAGACTGCTACTTAGGATCTCTCTATTCCCCTTGCACAGAGACACGGCATGGAGGTGCCCCTTTCCTTCAGCCCTTGAGGATCAGACAATGGCATTTGAGAGGGAGAGCGTCCAATATGTTTAACGTGCCTCTGGCCTGTTTTCCCCTCCCTCCTACTCAGATCAAGCTGAGGCACTTGATCTTCCAGCACTGTGATTAAAGAATCGGTGCCCTCTGCTGTAATAATTACCAACTTGGGTGACCCTCTGGCTTTATTTAGCATGAGGAGTTGTCTAACTTCTTTTCGTAGTATTGCTCATTTCCGGATGGTCAGTCTCCTGGGGGAAAAAATAGAGTAATCGGGGAAAACCAGGCAGCTTCCTGGTTGGGAAGGTGGCTGCCATCTTCCAGTCTAACAGCGCTGACTCGGTGTGCTACTTTTGTGCTGTCAACATGAATAACTTTCCAGCTTCATTTTAGCAGCCTGGTGTAAGGTGTTCACAAACTCCTTGGTCTCCCTTTGTAGTGCCCCAGGGGAATGTTTACCTTCATGTTCAGGTTATTGATTAAGCCTTAGTTTAATAATTTAAAAAATACATATTTAAGGAATTTGTGAAGTGAACAGCTGCAAGGCAAACAAGAATTTTCCATGTGGTGTCATATAGACCAAATGCAAATATGCAATAATAGTAACAAAACTATTAGATTTGCTAATTTCAACTATCTTTGATATATCGGGTAGATGGCAACAATCATTTCAAGTTCTTTTTGAAAGCATGGTAAATGCTCCTTGAAATACCAAAAAAATTACTATAAAGCAAACGTTTTGTGAATTATATTTTTACTAATTTTATTAGTAATGCCAGGTATACTTTGTCATGGATAAAGATCTTGAAAGTCCTAAATGAGCGTGTAGTTCTAGTTTCTGCACATCAGCTAATGTGACTCAGGTATCTTTTCACAATTTCCTTTTTACATTTAATTACAAAACTGAATATGTTAACAGATGGTTAAATTTGTCTAATGGGAACATTACTCATTCTCTGTACTGAAGAACAGAGCTTGTAAGAGTGAATTCTATTTTGTGGCTGTAAGACCTTTTTGTACTTCAGATATTAACCAGTTTTGGTTTTTGTCCCTTTAAACTCCCTTGCTTCAGGTACTCATATGGGAAGTTATTCCCTTGCTGGTTGTCTCCATATTTATTTGCAGCCAGTTAAAAAAACACTTATCCTTGAGCCAAGTTTTACAAAGTCTTTTGCAGGTGTTGTAGTCCAGGTAAATTTTAGAAAACAGTCATATCATCTTAGTTTAAAAACAAGAAAGTTAAGAGAGGGTCAAGTTCCTGTTCGTTACTGTTAGAAAATTAGGATTGCTAGTAGCAGTTGGAGCTATTAACTGAAGTTATATCCTGTGTGCAGAAGTGGGTATTGCAGCACACCACGATTTGTCTGAGCAGTATGCTGTGCAGTGAAAATTGCTAAGTTTAGAAGTTGCCCAGCTGTTCATTGTTTCATTATACATGTGGTAAACTGTGGGTTGCTTTTGGTTTTATTTTTGTGGTGGAAGTGAGTCCTGAGTGTAACAATTAAGAACATGGCAAAGTAATACTTAAATATAAAGGAAAGATCAGTCAACCCATGTAAACGCCCCTTAATTTACAACTCATGGCCAGCTCAAGTGATCTGGAAGGTTTTATTAATACATAAGTTAGAAAAAGATTTCAAAAAAAGTAGACTTGTTGTGAGTTTTGCATTGAAAGTTTTTTAATTCTTTGAATGTTGACATTGTTACTGTGGTAGCCTGAGCTTGGATGAGGAAATGGTGATTTGCATACTGATAAATGTAGTGAACTATGGTGAAAGTCTGTCTACTGTTTTTATGTGCAAGATTTCAATTTCTCTGAATACTAGCATGGTTGAGACTGACCTTTTAAGATAAAAGAATAATGTGATGCAGTTGCATTAGTATATGCTATGATTTTTGTGCCTTATTGTCATGATCTGTCAGTACTTATGCAAGTAGTGGGGTACTTACAGTAAACTAAAATTGGGAGGAGTAAATAGAAAGTGATACTTTTAACTGTTGATGGACTGGAAAGACTACATTCGAAAGGGAGAAGCTCTGTTGCTTAAGTCTTCTGGGTGAAGAACTAAGTAAATCAGTAGGAAATAGTTCTTTGATATAGGAGTTGATGAAGTTCCATGGTTTGTGTTGATATTAAAAACTAGGAGAGATGATATGCTTAAATTGTATGTGTGTTTATATATGTAAATATTAATTTGATATCCCTTATCTGCAAATGTTTTATCTTAGAGATTTTTACAAAACCTTTGCCTTTGGGCTGCTCCTATAATCAGGGAGTGTCTTTAACAAGGTAGGAAAGGGTTGATTTCTTTTCATCTTGTGATGCTCTGGCTGTCTTATAGATGGCTGAAAGAATAATGGTAGATATCTGACTACAAAACCAGCAGTATCTTAAACTTCCTCCTGGGGAGGCAAACTACTTGTGGTTTATGTTCTTAAATCAGACTGGAAGCGTGATTTCTTTGTTAGTATAAGAGACTGTCAAAATTGTGTGTCAACGAGAATCTGCAGGTACATAACTACCTTGCCTCTGCCTCCAGCTACTTGCAGTTTCTCTTCTACCTATTAAATGTGTTGCTTATCTTGAGTAGCTACTGGCAGCAGTGTAGCTTATGCGCCGTAAGGAAATCTGGGAAGTGAGCTTGAGATGTCTGAAAAAATGTGGTGTGGTATCTTGCTTTAGTATTCTGTATTTTGCCCAGAGGAGTTTGAGTGACAAATGCAATATAAATGTAGAGATGGAGTAGATTATCCTGTTCCAGGTTCTGGGAGAGATTGGCAATACTTAAAATGAGAAGGGGAAAAAAGGTGTTTCTAGTACAAGTGACTGCTAAAACGGATACAGAGTTTTAGAACTTCTTGCTTACATAGCTGTCTCTGGGTTGAAGTCATAGTTAGGCTTTACTTCATTTGGACTTCTTGTTCAATAACCTCCATTAAAAAGAAAAAGTCTATTTACCAGAGTAGCCAGGATAGCTGATCCAAACTGACCAAAGAGATATTCCATACCATATAATGTCACGCTCAGCAATAAAACCAGGGGCGGCGGGGTGGGGAGGAAGAGTTTTTTCCAAAGTAGCAGTTGCTCAGAGGCTGGGTAGATATTGGTCTGCTGGTGGTTACTCATGGCTTTTGCATCATTTGTTTCTTTATCTTTTTTTTTTTTTTTTTTTTTTACTTTACTTATTAAACTTCACTTGTTTAAACTTTCTCCTTCTCTTTTCTTTATCTCAACCCGTGAGTTTTTCTTGCTTTCGCACTTTTGATTCTCTCCCTAATCCCGCTGCGAGGGAGTGAGCAAGTGGCTGCGTGGGGACTGACTTGCCAGCCAGGGTCAATCCACCACACTGTCCTGGATACCGCTGAATGCTTATCTTCATTATAGTTCTAAAGTATCAACACATTGCCCCTCCTTCCCACCTTGATGTCTCCTCCACTATTTGTATAGTCTTGCAAATTTCTTTGTTTCAGAAATGCAATATTGACAACTGTAGCCAAGAGACAGAAAGTAGAATTAGAAGGAGCATATCTTCCACCAAGGGGAAGTAAAATGTTGCGTGGTGTATGTTGAACAGTTATAGGTTCATTTCCAGTAACATTGAACTCATCCACTGTGTTAACAATACACAGTGGCATGAGATATTGACTAGAAGCACCTTGATCATTTCGGCTGGTGGGAGCAAAACCAAGGAATCTGAAACCTTGCTGTCCAAGAAAATGGGGTCACTGTTCCCTAACCAGTGACTTGCAGGCTGTGTCATTGTGGATCAACTACCACACTTTTTCACACACAGCAGTTCTTTCTGTCTTGGATTCCACCCCACCTCCCCTCCCCTGCCTAAAGTTCTAGACCTTAATTACCTATTCATGACTACTTGGTGTAAATTGAGCAATGTTTATTAACTGAATGCTTCCTTGATATGATTATTGATATTGGTATGCAACATAGATTGCTTTTTTTGGCCGTGAATAAAAATGTAACGATGGTGATCTTTGTCAGCAGGATTTTACTGCCGAGAGATAGTAGTGGCTGGTTTGTGCATCATCAGTACACTGGTTTTAACCAGTTCATCTATCGATTTACGTTACGCAGTGTTAAGGAGAAATTGGCCGAAGGCTCAAGAAGCTAGGACATAGGAAATTCTCCTCAACTCTGAGTCTCAAAAACTTGGCCAAAACTGAGAATGTCATATAGCTATCTGCTGACTCAGTTTCAAGTCCACTAGTCCATGTTTGTTTTGGAAAGCTTTCTAAGAGATCTTACTGCATTTTTGTGAAATAGCAGGGGTGCTAGAGCCATACAGGTTTCAGGTTCATGAGTTAAATAGTCAAAAGACAAGGTGAAATGGGATGCAAGCCTACTTTTTCACACAGAATGCAGTATATTCCATTTTCATTTAGCTGCAATTTTGTTAGAACACTTACTGAAATTTCAAGTGCTTTTTAATGTTAGAATACATGAAATATAGACTACTTTATTCTGAAACAGTAGGTAACGCTGTCTTTTTTTCTTTGATTTGTGTGTGTGTTTTTTTTTTTTAATAGAATATTCAAATAAAAACTTTGGCAGATGATGTGGTAAGGTCTTTGTAACATCTTAATTTGCAATGGTAACTCCACGCTGCATGCTATTTTACTTCAAATGTTGTGGACAATATAACATTTTCTTATAAGGATATTAAACATTAGATTTCAGAAAATTGAGTTACTGTTCCTAAATATCTTCATTTGTAACTTCAGTTGAAGAAGAGTAATTAATGGTATCTATTTGGAGAAGCTTCTTTAACCACATTCTAAATACTTTAGTAGTACTGTGTTTATGTTGAAACTGTTATTCAACAGTTCATGTGTTATTTCTCTTGACCTTCTTTTTAACAGTAAAGGATCTGCAGTGGTTCTTCAAAGTTAGTTGCCACATGATTCAAGTGGAACCATTTTGGGTAATAAATGTGTACTGTATGTCAGACAACGAGTTTGTATTCAGTAGCACTAACTTTATAATTCTGAATACTTTGAAACCTGTTGTAAACTATTTTGACAGCAACTTATATCAAAATTGATTTCAGTAAAATTATAAACTTTTATTTTCTGTACATAATAGCTAAGCCACACTGGCCACTTAGTTAATCATCACTTACATGTCTGATATGAAGAAATTGTACATAGTTATCATGTAGAAGATTTATGGCTTTAAAGCAATCTCACCATTGCAATCTGATTAAACGAATTTGTTGTTAATAATGTATACTTGAAACAGATCACAGTATGGTGAAATTGATCTTAAATGGCACTTTTTTTTGTGACTGCTAAATGGGCATTTTAATAGTAAGTGAACAGTAAAACTGCATTTGATGTATATTGGCTAATTTTGAATACTGCCTTTCAGGCATTATGTCATCTTTGGCCTTTTCAATAGGCTACGCCCTAATTTTAGTTTCAAAAAAAGTAATGTAAACTATTCTAATATGGAAAAAATGGGATTAAAGTAAAATTCTTGCCTTGTTAAAGATGTTGACAGTATCCTTGTAGGTAATGTGTTTCTGTCCACAAATGTAAGACTTCTAAGGAAGAAGAAAACCCAACCCCAACCCCCCTCTCCTCAAAAACACAAACAAACCAAAAAATCCTCCAAAGAAATTCAAAGGGCATGCAGCTTATCTAGGGATACTTTCCCTTCAAAAATTTAAGGTAGTCTTGTAGGATCTCAAAAAATAACAACAAAACAAACCCAACAGCAAAACAAACCAAGAAAAAGAAACAAAACAATAAAAAAAAGAAACAACCTTTCTTCCCCATATTCCACAGCACTTGGTCAAATTTTTCTACTCCTGACTGGACTAATCCAAAATGAATCCAAATTTGCTAGAAATTAAATACTCCATTAAACTTTTCACACCTCACAGAGGTTGTTTAATTATAGAAAATATGAATTTTGGTTTACATGTCTTTGTAGAGATGCAATAACTTTTATGAATGATACTGGTAACCCTACATAAGCTGCTGTTAGATGAAAGCACATCTTCATAAGGCTGTTCAATGCCTGAAACAAATACACTAGTATTTGTTGATGCAAACAGTTAATTTAGAAAAATCGCTATAGACATAAAGTTCTCAAAATGAACATACATATATATATAGTTAAAGACAGTATTATTAAATAAAAAAAATCCTGACTCTATTCAGTATAGTTATATATTAATAATACGGTAATAAATGGCCTTATAAGGAAGGTGCTCTTGTTGGTTGTTTCCAATATTAACAAATTAACTGAGTAAGCATGCTTTTTTTTTTTTTAAAAAAAAAAAAAAAAAAAAAAAAAGGTGGGGGGTTTGGTATAAGGCATAAAACAAGTCAGCCTTAACCAGTGAAACGTCATTGCAGACCGTATGATACGCTTTAACTAATGTCTGTTATGTGTATTTAACTATGGGTGGCTGCTTCTATGTGAGTAATCCATTACCTGGCTTTTTAAAATTATGCACTAATTTCAGGAGTCCGTACTCAAAAACACTTCAAGGAATTGTGAACTATACTTGGAGCATTAATTCCTCTACAAACTTTATTTTACTTTAGCAGGATTTTTTTATAAGCCTGATGAACTTGTGAGTACCTCCTTCCCAACGCTGGCTTTTTCAGTTGTCCTCCAAAGACTTATAGCTCTTCAGGTGAAGGAACGCTTGGACATTACCTTTGTGGTACCATATTTATTCACTATCAGGATAATTAGGGAGTAATGTGAGAAGATGAACTCAAGATTTTGAAATGCTAAGAGTTTAACATAGATGGTATACTTTTGAAACTGTGAGAAATAGTTATATCCCTTTTGCATGTGACCTGTCATGAATTTACCTTAAATGTTGTTGTCTTTCTATGAAAAGTAATCTCTGAATGTTAGGGTATTTTTACTTACAATTCAGTTTGAGTTTTAACTCTGCTGCTTGGATTAACTAAAAATGTGTGTATTACTGCCATGTAATTGGCTGCTTTCCTATATTTCTATTTCTGCTTATTTTTAAATGGATGTCTTTGCAGCGTGACAGAATAACAAGCTTCAGAAAATCAGCAGTGAAAAAAGAGAAACCTCTCATTCAGCATCCTATTGACTCTCAACCTTCTATAAGTGAAATCCCACTTGCCCAGGCACTTGTTGACGAGCGTTGCATGAACTTATCAGAAAAAGAAGTTATGGATCTCTTTGAAAAAATGATGGTAAGATGACATGCTACATAGTTTTATAAGGTTTTAATTTGTTTTCATGTTGGCATTTATTATACAGGAGTGATTTTCAAATGTTGTCATTTTGGAAGTATTAGCTACTTGGGAGGGCATAGCATAGCGTAGGCCTGATAGACCTGTCTAAATTAGCACATAAACAGTTGAGTAACTCATAGAATGCTAGTATTATGTGTGTTTAAATTACTTGCTCTACTTCTACAGAGAAAACAAAGGCAAAAAGCCAAAAATGAAAATCTTAAGTTGTTGATTACGTCATTAAGATAACCTCTGTAGACCTCTGTAGTTGCTGTAGTTAGATACTGCTGTTGAAGGATATTTTTTAATAAACCTAAGTAAATACCTTTGGAAAATAGTAATTTCCATTAATAAAATCTTAACGTATAGAAAGTGAATTTTTACATGGTCTTGAGTATTTTCTGTCTTAGGATCACTTGTCAAGGTTTGTGAATCTACTCACAAGCAAGCTTTTCTACTAGTAATATAGAAGCAAACTTTTGAAGTGGGTGTGTATTAATTCTGCCATGCACATTGCATTTCCTGATACTTCATGTATCAACACCAATCTTTTGAGTATTGTTAGAAATACTGCTTTCTGTATGATTCTTTAAAATTGTTGTGAACTCCCATACAGTCAGTATGGCATAAGAACTGTCCTGTTCCTTTGTGTAGCTCTATTCTGTTCAAGGAAGTTGTGAATCTCTTTTGAAAGATTGGATAAGTGTTAATTAATACTTGCTTGATTTGCTTGTTAGATTAAGGGATTAATTTTTAACTTTTCCAAGTAACGTTAATTGAAGCAGACAATAGGTCTGTCTTCCAGAGACCAATAATTCTTTGAAAAAGCTGTTAGCTATTAAGTTATTATAGTAACATTTACTGGTCTGAGTTGCTAATCTGAAGTTACTTTGACTTTTAACGGCAAGACTAGTCATGACTAGTAATGACTACATGTTGTATTTAATCAGTTATTAAATTGGCATCTTTAGATTTAATCTAGCAGAATATTTGGATTTTTAGGTTTGTTTTAAATACATCAGTTGGAACACATTCACATCTACCCTTGCCACAAGCTAATAATCTATGTAGTAACAGCCTTCTGATTAGATAGTGCAGGAATGATATCCGTTGTGATAAGATTTTATAAAAAACACAGGAACTTCACAAGACTTAACGCTTACGTGATCAACTTGAGGTGCAGAATTTTTTGTTTTGTCCTCTAGTTCTATTTCTTGAGCCAGATTTCACTGATGGTAACTACCATTGATGCAATTATAATTTTGGGTAAGTCTTGAAAACAGCAAACACTTGAAGTGACAGAATTAAATGAGAAAATCGGGTAGCTCAGAAGTAAACAAACTGAAACGCAGATAAACAAATGGCTCGTTTTTAAACAAACAGTTTAAAAGTTTTTGTTATTTTTCAGTAACTGGAAAAAAGTTATTGAAAACTTTTCTAGTTTAAGAAAAGGAGTATAAAAATAACAAAGAGTAATAAAAAGCATGAAATAGAATCTTGATGTTATGTGGTCTCTTTCTTTACAGGAAGACATGAATCTAAATGAAGAACGTAAAGCTCCTTTAAGAGATAAAGACTTGACCACAAAACGTGAGATGGTTGTCCAATACATTTCTGCAACTGCCAAATCTGTAAGTAATCACCTCTCCAAAACAGATGAAAGTAAGGAGCTTAGCTTTATAAGTTACGCTTTTCAAGCTTGAAACCTTCAATTTTTTTGTCTGGGTTTATCTTCTAAGAGTGGCAGGGGAAAAAAAAAAAAAAATCTGTACTTTATTATTAAGCACTTCTCAGTGCTTGCAGCTGTGTCTGAAGGGTTAGTTTGTATTTCAGTTGTTGGGCAATGTAAAAACTTGACGCTTTGTTGTAAACTATAAGAAATTGCAAATCCAGTGATGTAGAGTAATGGATGGAACCTGAGCATATTTCTGTGGAATTCATCTTACGAATTTTTGGTACCAGAAGTTCTTGGAAGGGATAGCATGACTTTATGGTTTCAGTAATGGCATGCACACTGGATGTACGATTTGCAGTGTTAGAAACAGGGAATCAAAATATTGAAGGTATGTAAAATTGAAGTAAAGTCAGTATTTTGGCTTAATTTGAATATGTTGAGTACTGTAGCTGGCTTCAAGACTGCGTTAAGTATTCTGCTAAGGAATGTTCTGAAGGTAAATAAAATGGTTCCTTCAGTGAAAAGATGGTCTTAAAACGAGTTTCAAATTATATTTTGAGTAGAAAAAAATCTATTCAGACCTTTCATTCGTGTTGGTCATTCTCTGTCCTTAAGTTGATTGATTAACCCTTAGTTGATGGATGCAGAATTTTTGAAGTCTGTGTGTTTTGGGGTGCCGGAAATGTGAGAGAACCACTGGATGCCCCAACATGTGTGGGGTGGAGAAATACAAATTCAAATAGTGAAGAGCTGCAATTTATTTTCTGCAGTGGGACTAATAGTAGTGGGACTATAAATACGAATTAGTTATAAAATACAACAGCAACGCTTCTTGTGTGTTTAAAAATTGACCTTGGCAAATATAGTTCTTATCATGTAAAAGGACAATATGCCACAAAAATTCATGAATGTTGGATGAAACGGAGATATATAGAGATAGATAGATATGTTGTGATTTCCCTAGAAATAGGTTTTGTCCTGATTTGTGCCACTGTTTGTTGTATAAAGAATTTTAATGAAGCTAGTGGAGAATTCTGAGAAACAGAATATATTGCAGTACTGGGGAGAAGTGTGGGGGGGTAGCTTTGTGTATCCAATGGACAGTAGTATGCTTCAAGTGATAAAATTTGCTATCAGCATAGTACTTCAATACAATTAGGTAATGCATATGATTTTATTTGGAAATAAGGATGAATCTCGTCTTTTTTTTTTACACTTAAGTTATTGTACGCAATAAAAGGTTACTGGAAATGAAGACTGTGCAATAATTGTTCAAATACATAATGGCAGCACTGCTAACAGTTCTACAGAGCTGAGTCTGAGTGCTAAATACAGATAACATTGAATAATAATCTGTTTCTTAATGAAATAAACTGACAATTAAGACTATGTTGGTGTCTGCCTAATGGATCTATAAGCATGGACTGCTAGCAGTACAGTTGACTTGTTTTTCTTTTAACCTTTAAAATCAGCTCTACAGAGTTAAATTTCAAAAAAAATAAAACCACAGTGGCACGCAATTATTAAATGCAAATGCTTTGCATTGAACATTATAAACTTAAGTGAGGAAAAACTTGCATTATAATGTGAAAATGGTGATTAACGTTTCTGAGAGGAGTGATATTCGTGCATGAGTTCATCTTAAACAAAATTCACAGTCCTTTAATCTGTCCTAGAAGGAATCCAGTGCTTAAAGCATGGTCTAGCTAAACATACAAGTTACTGGAAATTATTCGAGCTTAGGCAGTGAATATTATGAAATTTCCTGTTAATATACTCTGCCTAGACCATTTTCGGGAACTATTGATCATGTGTTTTAAGGTTTTTGTCTTCACTTGATGATCAATGTTAAATCTTAAATTTTTCTTAGTAAGCAGAAATATTTTATTGAAGCAGTAGAAACTTTCACAATGGAAGTACTTGCAATTCTTTCCCAAAATGTAGTTGGACAATGGTGATCTCACACATATATGAATATCGAAATGTAGCTGCCTCAAGTACGATAATTTTGTAGCTGAGTAAGAAAAGCATGGCTACCATTGCATGTCTAACTGCTGGAAATTTTAGCAGATTGCATTACTGCCACCATATGCACTGCAGCATGGGAAACTTAACAGAACTAGAGAGATGTTTGCCAAAATGTACTAACAATTTAAAAAAAAAAAAAAAAAAAAAATCCCAAAATGTCCTCTTACATGAATGTGCGCTTTAACCTTAAGTCAGCGCCAGTATGGATGTTTTATACATATGCAAAATGTTTTTCCTAAGGGAAAAAGGACTTGTATTGAAGTTTGTGTGCTTCAGTAGGTCCTTCTTGCAATTGAATCGCGGCATTTGAATGGAATAATTTAAGGTTGTTCAGAAATATGAATGACCTTTCTGTAGTGTGTTACCCTAATTTAGCTTTTAAATAGCTACTATCTTAACTGATTTAAAAAAATATAAAAAGTAGAGCTCAGTTGTAAAATGTTGATTGGGATCTTACAATAAAGCAAAACCTCATTTTTGCTGTTAATTTCATCTTCTGTTTAGTTAAGCTACTATTCTACTTAGTAGAATTCAAGCCCTAACCAATTTTTACTGCCTCATTAATTGTCAAACTTTCTTTTCTTCAGGCCATCTTCAGGCTTGTCTTCCATGAAAATGCTGATCGCATTCAAAATGATCTTTCTTAAAATTTTCTACCGTTCTCTTTGGTCACAGATAATTTTTCATCTGTCTTCCTTTTTTTTATACTGAAAATACTTGGACCTATTCTTCTGCTTGGAGCTTACAAAGCACGCTTAACAGTTGATGTGACTTTTCTTCCGGTTCATTTCATGTTTGTTTTAGTTAGGCTTTTGAGCTCTCTCCACTCATTTGAAAATATCACTTTCACTTGCTGATGTTGTCTTAACCAAATTATTTTTAAATCTGGTGCTTCATTTTCTCTGCCTTGTGTGCCATCTGCAGCATGTTGACCATGCTTTTCTGAAACACTGTACTGTCTTCAGAGTTCTGAGTGAGAAAGAAACCTTGGTTTTCAATAGTTGGAAAAAAGCTTTCTTTTTCCTTGAGGGACAGAGCTAATAAGATAGAAGTTAATAAGCTGGATGCTTTAATGTGAAGTGATTATCGGTGCTTCTGATTCCTTCTCTCACTTGAAGAGTAAGATTGTTTACCATGGAAATTATACTTGGGAAATGGTGAAGGCTCAGAATTCTGTTTCAGAACTGAACTTGGTGACCTGTCATACTGAATTAGTTGAACATTGGTGGGAGAAGAAGGTGATAAATTAGGAAAAGAGATAGTCTGGTGATGACAGTCCATCTTGTGCTTCTAGAGGAAGCCTCATCAGGAAGATGAGAGAAGAGGTGATTGTGAAAGACTTGCAGGGACTTCTGTCTTCTGAAAGACTTCCTAAAAGAATAATGGAAGAGATAAGAGTAGAAAATGAAGCAGGTAGAGCCTGAACAGATACAATCAAATTCAGATCTCAGAATAAAATCATACTGTCTGAGGCTCTTAATCAGATAAAAGTGGTTATTCAATAAACTGACTGCTATCAGATTGCAGCAAGTAGCTGACAGTAAAAGGCTTATAATATTTAGGCAGAAGTCCATAGTCCTGGTGTTCACAGGAACGTGGTCATTTGTGTAAAGTGATAGAACAGGGCAGAGATCTGCTGCCTTTCTGCAGTTTCTTCTGTGTAAAGTCAACTTCTTGTTCATAAATATGCAGAGATGCTGTTCCATGGTAAAAAAGAGAAGATGTCATTCTGTAAATCACTGTTTAATTATCCATGTAATTAAAAGCATCCATACTGAGCAGTTGAAGAAAAATGCCACATGAGATTTTCTGAAATGCAAGTCAGATTTATAACTGTAGGCTATGTTTTTGGTTATGAAAACTTAATTAAATTCAGTGATGACATCATCTAAATGGATCAAAAGCTCCATAATAAATGAAGTTGTTACACGTACAAGGAAGTCAGTATGCCATTAGTTTTTTCTATAGTTTTCTCAGTGTCATACATGAAATATCTGACCTGATAATTTTAACAAGATGGCATATCTCTTAATCTTTCAAGAGGTAGATGTCAAGCTAGGTATTTAGTTATATATTGGTAAATGTGTAAAATACTGCTGATTCAGCAGCAGAACATAAGAATTTCAAATTAGTTCTCCTACAGTAGAACTATTGTTTTCCTGTTGAGAAGCAATAAAAGAATGTAACTGCTACTAATGATTAAACACTGAAAAATTTGTGTGATGCTACATCCTACTAAGTACTTTGCTGTGTTTATTTATGTATTATTATTATCTTTTTTACACAATAACCTCTCTTGGCTGACAACTGCATGCAGATAGTCGGAAGTAAAGTTCCGGTGAGTACGAACATGATAGTTTTGTTTTTTCTTATGAATACACTTTCATTTTTAGAGATTAGGCTGGAATATTTTGGACTTTTATCTTCGATTTAAAAGTTCAGTGGTCATAACGGAATCCTTGTTTTATCGAAATAATTATCAACTGTCTCAATCATATTTGTCTTACCAGTATGAGATCATTGATTGCACTTTTGAGGGATCTGTGTTTAAGTTTTCAGGAGTCTATTTCCAAATACTCCAGACTCACCGAGAACTCATCTGTTCATCGTGAGCAACAAATATAATTTAGACTTGTCTTGTTTTTTATTGAAGGCAATTACTCGAAACTTTAAATTTACAGTATTTGGCTTACTTATTCTGTTTAGATGTGGATTTTTTTAATGTCCTAATTGTTAGCATTCATAGTTTATCGTGGAAGTGTCAGCTGCTGGATATCAGTGTGAGAATAAGATTAACATAGAGGATTCATAAGGTCAGTTAATAAGCAAAAGATGAGATCACTCACAGCATAACTTTTCTCTTATTAAGTGCGCACCTACATTTTCTGTTAAGTCATGGTTGACTTTAGTGATTTTTTCTTTTTTTTT